TTTTAAAAGTATGAATATTAATATTAAGTTGCAAAAAAAAGACAAAAAACCAATAAAATTCTTTAAAAAACCTTATTCTTTTAATAATTTTTTTTAAATCGATAAAGCATAACAAAAATAAAGGATCAAACTAATTTTACAAAAAAATGTGAAATCTATTTTTTTAGGTTTTTTTAGTTTTAATAAAATGCTAAATAAAATTTTACAAATGTTAAAATGTTGACATCCCTGAAGTCAAGTTGATTGGTTTTATTTTTAGGCGTTGTGTAACCATGATATACACACTCTGAACACACAGAAAAGAATTAACTAAATTTTTATCCAAAAAATAATTTAAAAAACGTTTCTTCGGTGAGATCCAAAGAACTGAGCAGATTGGTTTTTAGAAAAACAAAAGTGTTACCACCACATAGCTTGAAAATTAACTAATAGGGTTTTGAAAAGAAATTTTATTTCACGGAATTGCACGGAATTGTGCGGAATTGTTCGGAATTGCACGGAATTGTGCGGAATTGTGCGGAATTGTGCGGAATGGCACGGAATTGTGCGGAATTGCGCGGGATTGCACGGAATTATGCGGAATTGCGCGGAATTTGAAAATTCCTGTGTTTCATTTTAATTGTATTGTTTATAATCATAACTAGTCGTTTTTTTTCAACAGTTTTATTTTATCAAAAACTAAATTTTTTTCTGTATTTCCTAAACGTCTCTCAACAACACATTCCTCCAAACTCTGGCCCAAAATTTTTTTCTCTTCTAAATACATTTTATTTGAGAAGAAATCAAAAGTTTTGACCAAACATCATCAAATAATCCCCTCCAGAAACAAAACTAAATGTAAGAAAATGTCATCTGAAGAAGAAAGAGAAAGTGATTTGAGCTCAGGAAGCATCTCTCTTCTATATATTATATCCATATATTTCAATAAATATATATATAAGTTTACATATCTAAATAAAACAAGTTGTTAAATGTTCTCTTGTAGTAATACCAGGATATAAACTGTTTAAGAGGGTCTCTCACCATGTTTACATATCTAGATAAAACAAGTTGTTAAATGTTCTCTTGTAGTAATACCAGGATATAAACTGTTCAAGGGGGTCTCTCACCAGGTTTACATATCTAGATAAAACAAGTTGTTAAATGTTCTCTTATAGTAATACCAGGATATAAACTGTTCAAAAGGGTCTCTCACCAGGGTTACATATCCAAATAATACAAGTTGTTAAGTGTTCTCTTGTAGTAATACCAGGATATAAACTGTTCAAGGGGGTCTCTCACCAGGTTTACATATCTAGATAAAACAAGTTGTTAAGTGTTCTCTTGTAGTAATACCAGGATATAAACTGTTCAAGGGGGTCTCTCACCAGGTTTACATATCTAGATAAAACAAGTTGTTAAATGTTCTCTTGTAGTAATACCAGATATAAACTGTTCAAGGGGGTCTCTCACCAGGTTTACATATCTAAATAAAACAAGTTGTTAAATGTTCTCTTGTAGTAATACCAGGATATAAACTGTTCAAGGGGGTCTCTCACCAGGTTTACATATCTAAATAATACAAGTTGTTAAATGTTCTCTTGTAGTAATACCAGGATATAAACTGTTCAAGGGGGTCTCTCACCTGGTTTACATATCTAAATAAAACAAATCGTTATCAGGAACCTAATTTAATGGATTTGAACTACGTCACCGAGCTACCCACTGCGGGTTCAAATTTGAATCACAGTTTAAAGTTAAAGATTAAGGAAGGATCGGTGATTCAAATTCATTAAATTCAGGCCTATTGACTGAAAACTTGCCACAAACTCTTGTAATAACTATATCTGTACAACCTAATACCGTAAACGCACTCCTGTATGCCGAGTCCATTAGCCCTTGATCCAATCATGGTTCATTCATGTCTTTGATGTCTATTCTGAACCAACAGAAATAGTATGACGGTAACATCTATCTTTCTATCTATCCCATTATCCAATTAGAGTTACGAATCCTTCAATCAGCACTATCAGTAAATGGAAATATTTACTTCTACTGAAACTATGGTGAACGTGTGATGTTTCAAACTTTTTTTGTCTAGTTTGAAAAACAGAATTCATAGTTTTAAAAATCTAAGGTCTGCGCCATCAGGTTGCAAAGATTAACAATTAGGATTAGTTTATTTGTGTCACAAATAAACAAATGCGTCAAGGTTTTTTTTATGATGTTATTCTTCAAAACTTATTCTCAATATTTGAAAGTTAAGGGATGCGCCAAAGGTAACTATACAATGTTTTAGTCAAAGTATAGATATTTGTTAAATTGAGGCGCACCGTTAAGTCTATGGCACAAACTCAAATTTTCAAATGCCTATATCTTTGCAACCTGATATTGTAAACCTTTGATATTTATACGATCTTTAATACCAAATTTAAAGAATTTGAACCTCAGTTTCAGGAGAAGTAAATATTTTTATTTACTGTTTAGCGCCGATTTAAGGATTCATCTCTAATTGGATAATGAGATAGATAGAAAGATTGATGTTACCGTCATACTATTTCTATTGGTTCATAATAGACAACAAACACATGACTCAACCCTGATTGAATCAGGCGCTAATGGAATCGGCAAACAAGTGTGCCTGGTTCAAACATGACACTCGGTTTAAAGATATGGTTCAACTTGAAATTTTAATCAGTGCTTTGAGATTGGAGCCAGCGACAAACACAGACTCTGGAGATGTCCCATAGACTATGTAACCGTAACCTGCAGCAGACAAAAACTCCTTACTACAAAACAATACGTCACGAGTTTCTTCATGTTTTTGGCCTGATGCATACACAAACTAGATGGGACAGGAATAAATATGTTAATGTTAACACCAAAAATCTTGTGGACTCTAAAGAAGCAAGATATCAGTATGAAATATGTGAAGACTGTGACACACTTGATGACCCATATGAATGCAATTCAATAATGCACTGTAAGGCTAATACCTATGCTATCAACCCCGAAAAACCAGTTATGACTTCCATAAATAAATCATGCATCATAAAACCCTCCAATTATCTAACTAACGAGGACTGGAAACTCCTAAACAAAGCAGCAAAGTGCCCTAAAATCTAATCACAAAGAAAGTTGGTTCAGAACCTGATCATTTTCAATTTTCAAAATTTTTGGATAAATTTTTAACCTATGAGAAAATCTTGCATGTGTTTTTTATCGAGTTGGTTTCAATAAAATAATTAGACAGTAAATCATATAAATCATATACACAAGAGAGAAATACTGCTTATGAAGCTATGATTTTATGTGCTTTAGTATTTTATGAAACTATTGTGTACTTTATCATTCATACTTACTTTGTGGTAAATTTTTTATTTACATGTTAAAAAAAATAATAATCATCGTGCTATAAAATCAAAATACCTGTAAAATGTAGGAACATGCTATAATGAAATCATCATGGTATAATGTTAAATTAGCTCTATATTATAGCATCATGCTTTAAAGTTTTAATTGGTTACCTTAAATTAAAATTTATATTTTTAGAATAATGGTGGAATTATGAACCCCTAGGAAGGATATCTGAATCCCTCCAGTGGAATTATAAACCCAAAGGAAGGACATCTGAATCCCTCCAGTGGAATTATAAACCCCTTGGAAGGATAACTGAACCCCTCCAGTGGAATTATAAACCCCTTGGAAGGATATCTGAATCCCTCCAGTGGAATTATACACCCCTTGGAAGGATAACTGAATCCTTCCAGTGGAATTATAAACCTCCAGGAAGGATATCTGAATCCCTCCAGTGGAATTATAAACCCCTTGGAAGGATATCTGAATCCCTCCAGTGGAATAATAAACCCCTAGGAAAGATATCTGAATCCCTCCAGTGGAATTATAAACCCCCCGGGAAGGATATCTGAATCCCTCCAGTGGAATTATAAACCCCTGGGAAGGATAACTGAATCCCCCCAGTGGAATTATAAACCCCCAGGAAGGACATCTGAATCCCTCCAGTGGAATGTAAATCACCCTGCGTAAAATTTTGAATTAAAAAAGCATTTTTTCAAACCCCTCCAGTGAAAAAGAATTCCCTCCGGTGGTCTCCAGTGGAGTCAAATCTTACTACGAACTTCCGTGACTCCAAACTATAACAAAATGAATTGTTTGAAGTTTTTTTAAAGGTTTTTTAACAAACCCAATTAATTGTTTTTTATTGGTTTTTTTTTCTTTATAGTTTCTCTGGTTTTGTTCATTTATTCTTACATTTTCTCTGAGAATATATTTATTGCAATATTTAACCCTATGAAGACTGGGGGGTCTGCATCTATGTATTGCCCCCCCTGAAAAAGGCCTTAGAGAATAGATATAGGATTGAAATGCACTGTTCATATCCCAATTTGTCAGGGGAATGGTCTTATATATAACTATCTCTCTTCAGTTTGTAATAGATAGATGAAATAATAACAGAATATATAAATTTATTTCACTTTTTAAAATAATTACTGTGTGGAGAGAAATTTTCTAATGCTCTCAGTCAGTTCAACCCTAGAGAGAAATTTGTCTGAATCTACATAGTACAGAAGGTTCTAATGCTCTCAGTCAGTTCAACCCTAGAGAGAAATTTATCTGAATCTACATAGTACAGAAGGTTCTAATGCTCTCAGTCAGTTCAACCCTAGAGAGAAATTTATCTGAATCTACATAGTACAGAAGGTTCTAATGCTCTCAGTCAGTTCAACCCTAGAGAGAAATTTATCTAAATCTACATAGTACAGAAGGTTCTTATGCTCTCAGTCAGTTCAACCCTAGAGAGAAATTTATCTGAATCTACATAGTACAGCGTGTCCTAATAAACATGGGAATTAAGTGACAACTTCATGTCGTCTTTGTTCCTTGCGGCAGTATTTCGTTATCACAATTTTATAGTAGTATTTGAATTAAAATAGTTGGTCCCAGGGATTTCCAAGATGAGGTCTACCAATTTTAAACCTTCAAAATTAGTTCTTGTAAAATTGAAACATTTAAAATCTAAAAATAAGCTTGAAAGAGGGGCGCGAAGCACCCTGGAATCTGTGTATTTTATAAAAGTCACCTGGTATTGAAAAAACTTGATTGGTCTGCTGATATAATTTCAGGTATACCTGAATATTAAATGTTTAATATTATATTATATTATATCAAATTTACATCAAAGATAGTAATAGTTGTTTTGAACAAACAAACTTTTTTAGAACGAACAAAACTGTTCGGGGAAAGGGTGTCGTTTAGAAAAAAACAAACAATGGATAAACAAAAAAAAGATTAAAAATTAAAAAACGATTTAAAATAGTTTGAACAAATTTGAAAAACCATCATCTTGTTACTAAATGAACTATTTTTACAAAAGATTTGGGAAAACGATCGTTTTTTACCGAACAAACTAATTTTTCTAACAAATGAAAAAAAACTATAGTTTATTTTTACTGAACAAACAATAATATTGAGTTATAGATTTTTCTGAACAAACAATTTTACTGAACGAACTATTTTACTGAACAAACGATTTTACAGTGATAACACGAAGAAAATAGATTAAAATTGAACAATAATTTTTAAAATAAACAAAATCAATTTTTTGAACAATTGAAAAAAAACGAAAATAATGTGTCCTTCACAAACGATGAACGAACCAAATGAAAAAAGTCAAAAGTGTACATCTCTACAAAGACATGGTAAAAGTTAGATTCAAGTTCTGAAAATGTCGTCATCATTGTAAAATCTAAGTTTTTAAAAATTCGAATTTGCCAACATTTAAAATTTAGTATTTTAAATGTATTTATAAGTTTGTTTAAAGGGACTGTATAGCGTTATTACAAGTGACCTCTTAAAGTAAAATCTGTTAGATCTGTATAGGTTCCCAAGTTTAATGTAAAAACAAAGAATTATTTTTAAAATCTATTTCTGTATCTAGTATTTTGAAACTAAAACTAAACTAAAAATATTATTACAATTTGTCCAAAACGTTTGAAAGAATCCTTCTAAAAACTTGATAATTATGGTCATACTCTTGTTCCTTGTCTACCCTACTCACATCTTATTGAACCCTTCTATAATGTTGTAAAAACCTTATATCATTGTGTAGTGCCCTTCTAACAGGTTGTTATAACCTTCTCTTACCTAAGCATACTCTTCTATCAGGTTCGTATAACCCTCTATCAGCTTTGTAGAACTTTCTCTTATGTTTTTATACCCTTCTAACAATTCTTGGTATACCCTTCCGAAACCTTGCATTACCATTCAGCTTGTTATACCCTTCAAACAGATTATCTTACCCTTCTATCAGCTTGGCAGTTTGTTATACCCTTCTAACAGATTATCTTACCCTTCTATTAGCTTGGCAGTTTGGTATACCCTTCTTTAAGGTTGTGATATTCTTCTTACAGCTGTAATACTTATCTTTCAGTTTTTTTCTACCCTGCTAACCGTTTGTTATACCCTTCTTTAAGGTTGTTATACTCTTTAATCAGCTTTTTATATTCTTATATAAAGCCTGTTATACTCTTCTATCAGCTTCTTATACACTCCTAACAGCTTGTCATGCACTTTTAACAGCGTGTTACACATTTCTATCAGGTTGTTATACCCTTCTAACGGCTTGTTACATCCTTCTAACAAGATATTGACCTGGTTATCTTCTGACAGCAGAGAAGAATAAACACTAAGATGACCCGACTGCTGGAACTAGATATGTTCAGTTCAACTAAAAAAATACATTTTCATAATTTTTTCATCAACCTGTAGATATTATCCACAAGTTTGCTTTTATTTTAATTGGCGGGAGTGCCGGCGTTGCCCGTGGAATTAAATAAGATAATTTTGAAAAATAATATCGGGCTTTAAAACAATATTTAAATTTATTAAGCCTATGTTACCCATCCGGTACCCATGGGTTTCCTAAAAAAATTCAGCCCATTTGGTCCAGCTGTTTGGCCAGCTATAGCTGACATATATGGGTAAAAGAGCTTTATTATATTAATGGTGTCAAATTCTAAACATATGTTGGCATAAACGGAAGAAAATAAATGGAAAAAGATAAGCGTTCTTTATTTTTTTACTTTTTCAAACTGATCTATTGAAATCAAATCTAAATATTTGTGTTCTTTTCTGTGAATAGTTCGTCAATTAACATTATTTTGGATACTTTCAATGACAAATTAAAAATATATTTCTGCTTTATACCGAAAGTTTTTTATTGATAACTTATTCTTTGCTTGAAAGAAATTAGCATAAAGCGATTAAAGTAGGGTTTGCAGTGAACGAAACGTTTCGCGTAAAAATGCAAAGAAATGCGAAATTTCGCGAAAATGAATGAAGCGAAAATACGAAAAAGAAGCGAAATTTCGAAGAAAAAAAATTTCGCAAAAATTCCGAATTTTGCGGAAATATTTTTGTAAACAATTTTTTTGCGAAAATTTCCGCAGAAATTTTGCATTTTTTATAATTTAGAATTTTTTGTGAAATTTTTGCATTTTTTCGCGAAATAGATTAAAGCGAACGAAATGCAAAAAAATGCAAAAAATTTCGCATTTTCGCGAAGCGATTTTTTCCTTTTTTGCTGCAAACCCTAGTTTAACGACAGGGTTAAATTTTAGCAGGAAGTAGGAACGAAAGTTGTCATTTTTAATAAACACATCCATTTTTCATCATTTTAAACCTTTAATTTTTTTCAAAAATGGCTAATCCGTTTTGTTAATGTTGCGTTACTTCTCGCAAACTTCCATTTTATGAATGAAACTTTGCCCAACCCTAAATATATTTAAAAAAAAAAAAAAAACTTTTTAAAAAGAAATTACCTGTACTATATATTGCTTGTCGATATTTTCTATATGATTTAACTTAAGTCTCTCTAGTTTAGGGCCTATCATCTCAAAAAATTCTCTTATTGGGTCCCTAAACACTATAGTTTCAGTAGAAGTATATATTTCCATTTACTGATAGCGCCGATTGAAGGATTCATAACTCTGATTGGATAATGAGATAAATAGAAAGATAGATGTTACCACCATACAATTTCTATTGGTTCAGATTAGACAACAAACACATGACTGAACCCTGATTGGATCAGGCTCTAATGGGCTCGGCATACAGGAGTGTAAAATCAAAGCTTATAAAGGATGAGACTTCATCGATGTCTCTACCTGAAACTTTTATAAATAAACTATCTGCTGGTCAAATGTTGGCTACAAGGAAGTGTTGTTTCAAAAAATTATATGGGGGTTATGCTGAATTTCAAAAAACTATATCTGTTGCGTCTTCCAGGAGAAAATTAATAAAACGGTTAATGCCACTTTTTTCCACTCAAACAGCAAATAATTTAATCAAATCTAAAACTGATCCAGATTTAATCGGTTAATTTAAATGTGTAACTGTACAATGTACATAGCTTGATGAAGGAGACTGACCATGGTTCCTGGATTCCGGTTCACGCACCCCTGACCATTTAGTAAAAGTAAATTCAACCTAAAGTCTGACCGCGTCAATCTTGTTGCACCGGCTAGTCCTATTGAGTGTCTGCGTTATTTACCCGATGTCCTGGCGATACTGTACAAACTGGGACCAGAAAATTGACCTGGCTCGGAAATTCAAATGTACTATGGCTGCCCGTGGGTTTTTCTGTTCCCGGATTTTCCTCAAAATTCTTGAGCATTCTGTACTTCCATTTGAAAAAAATTGTGTAAAAAACGTGATTTTAGCCTTGAATCTGTTAAATCTATATAATATAGGAGATGTGTCCCCTACTTGCTGACATCTCCACCATTAAGCTTGAGCTGAACCAGTTGTGGAAGAAGGCTTAGAGTATTCAGTTCACACAGTTCCTCACCATCGTAGAAGAAACTTACTTCTCTGAAATAAAACTTATAGAATAGGAAGACATGGGTTAGGCAAAGTTCCATTAACGAACTAACGATTTTGAAAACTACTAGCCGTGCTTGAACAAAAAGAACGAATTTTATTCTTTTCTTCTGCTTAAAATTGCATGAAAGTTTTGCATATCTTTTTTTCGCAAAGCGATGTTAGTTATAAAAGTATAGAGCGAAGCCAATTTTCATTGCATTTAATTCTTGTTATTTCTTATTTGACTGGACAACTAACCTGATATAAGGACACATCTTGGAAACTCGAGTCATTTGTTTTCTCGAGTGAAAATGGTAGATCTCAGAACAACAAAACTCCTGAGAATAGAAAAATTTGAAAAATTAAAAATGCGCTAAAAAAATGGAAGTTTTAAAATTAAAGAAATTAAAAGCGTAATTTTAAGATTAAAATATGTTTATCTGATCTATAATGTAAAAGATATTTTGCTCAGATCTGATAAAAATTACAAAAAAAAACACAGAAGACCTGGATTTTTAATCTAGGACTGGGATCACCCCTCCTCCAAACCTGAGTATCTTCCATCTCAACAAACTCCAATACATCACATAAAAAATCACCCTAAAAAAAGAACAACAAAAAAAATTGACAATTTAGATTTATTTCTTTCAGCCATTTAAAAACATCTAGGGGCTTCACAATAACCCTGAGGCAGATACCTAATTAGAAGTTACGCGCATGCCTCGTTGAATGACAATTGACAAGAGAGAGAGAGCATACGCACAATTCCTTTGGGCTTCTGCCTCAGGGCTATTGTGAACGCAAACCCCCTAAATCTTGAAAAGACGACATCTGGTGTTATATCTGTATTGCTATTAATCCATGAAGGAACATATCTCTCGTCTCAAAACACCAATGATTTTAACCCTATTTCTTTGCAACCTCATTTAAGAAATAGAAAACGTAAGTTTGAACGGAGTTATCAATTTTATAGAGTTCAACTTTTTTTAATTGAAAGCTGGATATAAAAAAATTTAAAAAACAAAATATTAAAATATTGTACTAACCATTGGCAAGTTTTTGAGTTTCGGCAACCCAAATATTACAATAGCCAAAGTTGCCATACCTTAAAAAGAACAGTCATATCAAACAAACTTAATTTTTATCTTTTTTCATTTAAATGGAGAAATTAGGAATTTTGTGTCTTGTTTGTTTTACCTACATTGGTTTCTGTAATCCCCAATAGTTCAAGGTTTTCTAAACAACAGAATAACATTTCATTTCATTTCTAGCTTGGGAATTAAACTCAATACAGAGAAGATAAAGCCTCCAACATTCTACATCTCAGTGATAAAAAGAGGTTAGACATGGGGAAATCCTGCATCAAGTACTTCATGTACATCTACAAGATCATCATCAAGTACTTCATGTACATCTACAAGATCATCATCTGTAATGAGTCCCGTACCCAAGTTTATTAAAACATTCAAGAACTCAAACTTGCTAAATCCAAGCTAGCCAAACCCTGTTGTTTTTACTGAAAACTAAGAGATTAATACTTGATCCAGAATAGCGCGATAAGCACTTATGCATTTTTGCTTTATGCATTTATCCATAATTTTTGATGATTTCTTAAAAGTTTATCTCTCGTTTTTCTATCATTGAAAATTTAATCATCTAGCTCGTTATCTTATCTGAAAATAAACAGGGCGACCAAGCCACTTTATAAAATTATAAATTTATGATTTTTTGTTTGTTTTGCTGTTCAATAAAGTATTTGAGAAGAAGTTCCATTAATTAAAAGGATTCACCTGTCCCGCCTTTAAAGCTATTAGTTAACAGTGTGTTACATCTGTTCATAAAAAACATTATTTTTTTAAAGGGAGTGTTCGCGAAAAATGAAAGTGGGTATAGGTTTAATGCGATAAAAAAGCGCTTTTGATCGCCACTAATCTTACTTTTATCTGTTGCGTCTATAAGGAGAAAATTGTTAAAGACGTCTCATACCGAATGACTTAGCGCCCATACAAATTCAGAAAATTGCAACAAACAACTTAGACCGTAAAAAATCAATTTAATTTCAAACAAATTATTCAGATATTACAACCTATAGTCATCGATTATCTTTCGCCACATTTGTATAAAGTTTATATTTTATAATAATTTTTAATTAATTTGTTTTGAATTTGATTATTTCTCTTGCAGCTTGCGCAACTATTTAAGAATGCCGCGGACCACTCACATTTTTCGAAATCAGTTAAAACGTTTTCTATAAACAAAAAAGAATAAAAGAACAACTCTAAAAGCTTGAAGATGGTTAAATTATAAATAAACGTGTGATTGAATTTAAATCAAAGAAACTGAAAGCATTCAAACTAGGTGTAATGAAAGATATTTCTAAAAGCGTGTAAACTGCGCAAATATGCATTAACTGACGTTTGTTGTGTAAATTGCACAGCTTGCAAGTATGAAGGAAAAATTACTTGTTTTGGTTTTAAGGGATTCTGTATTTTTAAATCTGTAAAATACAGTGATAACCAGAAAACAATGGATAGCAAGACGACATTACAACAATACTTGATGTATAAGTATGAAGGGAAAATAACTTGTTTGGTTTGAGGGATTTCTGGACTTAGGAAAATGTTTCAAAAAATTTAAAGTTTAACAAATTCCAAAATTGTTTATACTATACAGTTGCTCTCCTTATCAGAATAATTTATTTAATTCTTTATCTTAAATCCAGGTTTTAAAATATATCAAACGCTGTGTGAACAAAATTCAAAATTTGGCAAATAAAAGATCCAGACTGTAAAGAATACTTGCATCAATGTTCAAGACTGTAAAGAATACTTGCATCAATGTTCAAGACTGTAAAGAATACTTGCATTAATGTTCAAGACTGTAAAGAATACTTGCATCAATGTTCAAGACTGTAAAGGATACTTGTATCAATGTTCAAGACTGTAAAGAATACATGCATCAATGTTCAAGACTGTAAAGAATACTTGTATCAATGTTCAAGGCTGTAAAGAATACCTAAATCAATGTTCAAGAATGTAAAGAATACTTGTATTAATGTTCAAGACTGTAAAGAATACTTGTATCAATGTTCAAGACTGTAAAGAATACTTGTATCAATGTTCAAGACTGTAAAGAATACTTGCATCAATGTTCAAGACTGTAAAGAATTATTGCATCAATGTTCAAGACTGTAAAGAATACTTGTATCAAAGTGTGGCAACGCTTTGACCTTTGAATTTGCCTCGCTAACTTACTTGTACATTTATGAAGCCCTGTACATGTACATTTTAAATTTGTATAATACAGTGATAACCAGAAAACAGTGGAATAGCAAGACAACATTACAACAATACTTAAGTGTATTTGAAGTGTTTACAAAACAAATAGTTTTATAAAACGAACTAAACTGAATCATCAATTTAGGGAAATGTGACTGGTTACACTGCACACTTACTGTTCCTTTTACCTCATTTGATTCTTGATCAGATATATTGATTCTAAAAGTCGTCTTCCTATTTCAGAGTATTCTGGTTATCACTGTTCTTGTTATTATTAAGTAATTGGCAAAATTCTCATAGATTTTCACGTGTGAACTTGCAATCTAGGCCAGAAAAGACTCAATTTCATTGTTCTCAATTATAATGGTAGACAATTAAAGATTCCGACTTAAAGTTCAGATCTGTACTGCATTGTACAGGGTGTCCCAATAAAATGGGATTTAAATGACGACATTGAAAATCGTTTTCGATTTCCATTAGTTGGTAATGGTAAATTACAAAATAAAGACTCAATAATGAGATTTTCAAAATGTGGTCTGCCTTCTTTGTATCTTTAAAATTGATGGAGATATTAAACAATTGTAAAATTTCCTTGACTAAAAGGTGCAAATATAGTAGACCACATTTTTTAATTCCCGAGATTAGTAGTTTTGATTATTAACAGACCAAACTTGAATACTACAAAATATATGTTCAAGTAAATTTACCACACGAAAAAAGACGATATAGAAGTCGTCACTTAATTCCCATGTTTATTGGTACACCTTGTATCATATAATTTGAATTTTATAGATTTTAGAAGAATATACAGGGTTACCCACAAAGGATGAGACGACTGTACAGAATTTATACTGTCTGTTTCCTTATATTCATTATCCTCTGCAACCGTAAACTTGTTTCTTTATTTCTCTAATCATTGAATAAGCCATTATATAGATTACTTTATCTATTGCAGAATACATATTTTAACCTTGGTAACCCTGTCTATATGGCACTGAGCGCCATGAATTTTTAACTTTTTAAAACATCTTGAGTTTATAAATGTTATCAGTATGTATACTTAAGTTTTATTGTTTTTACTGTTCTTAAACCTTAAACAAACACACAAGAAACTTTAAGCTCTACCGACATAAATTGTACGTATTATAAACTTGAGTCTAATCCGCTTATTAGAACAAAGTTTATAACCGTTATCAGTATGCATACTTAAGTTTTATTGTTTTTTACTGTCCTTAAACCTTAAACAAACACACAAGAAGCTTTAAGCTATACCGACATAAATTGTACGTATTATAAACTTGAGTCTAATCCGCTTTTTAGAACAAAGTTTATAACCGTTATCAGTATGCATACTTAAGTTTTATTGTTTTTTACTGTCCTTAAACCTTAAACAAACACACAAGAATATTTAAGCTCTACCGACATAAATTGTACGTATTATAAACTTGAGTCTAATCCGCTTTTTAGAACAAAGTTCACTTTCATAACTTACAAAATAAATCATTGTACGTTATCAGTATGTATACTGTTTATTGTTTTTACTGTCCTTAAATCTTAAACAAACACACAAGAAGCTTTAAGCACTACCGACATAAATTGTACGTATTATAAACTTGAGTCTAATCCGCTTTTTAGAACAAAGTTCATTTTCATAACTTACACAATAAATCACTGAAAGTAAAAATTTTCATTTCCCGCATTATGAATAAACAATTTCCCGGATTTCTAGTTAAACCTATATTCACATTGATCACAATACCATGTTTGTCGATATATTGTAATTTTTTATTACAATATAAGTTGTTAATAAAAAGAATTAAAAAATCTGTTTCTAATTGTATGAATGTTTATATTTTGGAATAAAAGACTGAAACCGGCCCATTGTATGATTTAAATTGTATTCTCTTACTGAGGATTCTTTAATGATGACATGACACTCATAATATCTGAAGCTCTGCAAATTAAACTTCATAACCCATGTTATATATTGTCTTTAATTTTAGTAAATAATTCTTCTTTCATCTTTGTGGTTTACCCTGTATACCCAATTATTTCTCACAAAGATTAAAGATAGTTTCACCAAATCTATAACATACAGAGAAACCCTTCAAACTGTAGAATAGAAAGACGACATTAACATAATATTATGTGTATTCGATGTTGTTTTAAAGCAAATAGTGTTACTAGTATCTTGAACAATTGCTGTGTTTCATGTACATTGGACAATTAAAAATTTTGAATTGTGTCTAAAAGTAGTCTTTCTATTCCACAGTTTTATTGGTTTCATTTGTCGTAATAAAAACGAGTTTTTACAAATTTATCTCATCTATCTTATGTTTCTATTTTTTTGTCATTACTAAAAAGGTACAATTCGGGACTGTACAGTGTACAGCCGACCATGATCTATCACATGACTCGAATATTGAGTATAGTATGCTGACAGAACACTATATTAACCTGTCAGGAACTGCCCTAGGGGGACACCAAACAATTGTGTAACATTAAAAAAACCTGTCAAATATCAACAGTTTTGAATTGTACATTGACACACATAAAACTGTGGAATAGGAAACCGACTTTTAGACACAAGTTATGATTTTGAATAGTCCAATAAACTTGAAATACAGCTTAATTCTGCACCTCACACAGATTTTGAAACACCTGGTAAATTTTATTAGTGATAGGAAATTTTGTTTTCTTATCAAAAATTGTCTCGAGTATTTGATTATTTATTAGGGTTTCCACGAAATGACAATATTTTCTGCGATCTTTTACGCATCTTTTGCGCATGAAGCGCAGTAAATTTTCGCGTTTTTGAGCAATTTTTTTTGCGTAAGTTGTGCAAACCGGAAATACTTAGCAAAACGTTGATTTTTACACAAAACTTGCTTTAGCAAATTAACAGTTTCAGCACATAAAAATAAAGTACGATTTTGCCGCTCTCAATTGGTTACATTTGGTTACAAATTCTTTAAATTGCGGGATAAAAATAATAAAACAGAAATTAGAAATTTGAAAATTGAAAATTGATGTATATTGATGCACACTGCAAACTGTACACTGCACACAGCACACTGCACACAGCACACTGCATACTGCACCCTGCACACTGCACACTGCACACTATACACTATACACTGCACACTGAACACTGCACACTGCACACTGCACACTGCACACTGCACGCTGCACACTGCAAAATTATTTCTCACAGAGATTAAAGATAGTTTCACCAAATCTATAACATACAGAGAAACCCTTCAAACTGTAGAATAGGAAGACGACATTAACACAATATTATGTGTTTGCTGTGTTTCATGTACATTT